GAAGAGAAGAGAAGAGAAGAGAAGAGAAGAGAAGAGAAGAGAAGAGAAGAGAAGAGAAGAGAAGAGAAGAGAAGAGAAGAGAAGAGAAGAGAAGAAGAGGTTTCAGCTCACCCCTCCAACCTTCTCGAAGTGCGAGGCGTCCCTCTGGAAGTCCGTGAGGGTCCCGTTGAAGTACCAGGTGAAGCTGATGTCCAGCAGGGGATCGTGCTGCACCTGGCAGGGCAGCACCACGCTCTCCCCCACGGTGACATCCATGTTGGAAGGTGCCAGGGTGATCCTGGTTGGCTCTGCAGGGAGCACAGACATTGGTTTTTGGACTTTTCTGCACTGAGATCCCCGCAGGTTCCTCGGGTGGGATCAGTGACAGCCACCTCCAAAGGTGCAGCTGGGCTGGGAATGCTGCCTGGAGCTTTGTGTCCTGGCCTTTCCCAGCAGGAGCTGCTGGGCACTGCAAAGGTGAATTTGAGCCAATCCCCAAGCTGAACCACAGGCAGGAATTGCTCCCAAAAACCCCACTGGGTTTTGAAGCAGCAGCAGCCACTGGGCAGGTGAAAAGGTGGCAGTAAGGGAATAAACCTAATAAACCTAATAAACCCCAGAAACTGCAGGAAATCCACTTAAGGAGGAGCACACTGTATATTTGAGTCCAAACATCACACAGAACATATATAGTGTCATTAAGAACAGCTGTTGGTTATTCCAGAATCACATTAACGGAGAAAAATTTCAGCTGCTGTAAATACTATAACAATACTGTAACAATAAAATTTAATTCTAGGAATTCTCTGTATATAATTTTATTATTTGTATATAAAGGGATATGAATCATTTAGGAGCACAGGCTGAAAAGATGAAGTTGTTAATTCACTGAACAAAATAATTCTGTTTGGACCTATGAGATATATAGGATATGTAATGCAGTGGCATATTAGATAATTCCGAGTTTGGGAAATCTTTTAGTTATTAAGATCTTTGAAAAATAGCACTATGAGAGAAGACATTCTTCAGATAAACTTCACAAACTCTTGGCTCTTTTCATCCAGTATCTCAACCAGCAGCCAGAAATGGATGACTTGGAGGAAGGATCCCTCTGAACAACAATTCTGCATAAAATTTGCTTTTCAAAGACTCTGTTCTACTGCCCGTGGAGTCCCTGAATGCTCCCCTGCAGCTGGAGTTTCCACCACATCTTTTACCATAAGCAAACAGCATTTAAACCTCTTTTGGGCAAAACAGATTTTCGACTGGAATATAAAATTACCTCAAAGATTTTTTCTGATTGACATGTTTTTTTATAACAAATTAAAAACCCCCACGAACTTAAAAGCATAATTGCACTATTTAGTGTTTAGAGGAGTGAGAGGAGGGAGGGAAGTGCTCAGAACTCCCTCACATCTGAGAAATATCTTTGTCAAAGACAGAAAAATCCCTCGGTGTCTTTTACACTAATGAAAGAGCTGTAACAGCTATCATCTTTATACATTAAATAAATAACTTCTCACACTCTTTACACTCCACTGCAGGCTCCCAGAGGCTGCAATTCCACTCCCAGCGCCCGTGTCCCAGCTCACCCACCTGTAACTACCAAGCTGGTGGAGCCCCTGGCTGTTCCAAACTGGTTTGTGGCCAGGCAGGTGTAGCTGCCAGCATCCCCCTTGGTGACGTTGGCTATCCTCAGTCCTCCATCCTTTAACAGACTGACCCTGAAAAATTACGGGGAGATTCTGAAAGTCGCAGCATTTGTAGACAAAATGCTTTCAGGCTTCACTGTTGATCTCTCATGTATTAAACTCTATCAACAGTTAGGATGAAAATGAACTCTGCCAGCTGAAAGCAGGGCAATCACCAAGCTGGGGTTTGAAAATGTTGTGGCCATCCACTGATAATGCGCAACAAATTTGAACCTGTCGCCCTGATTCTTAAGATTTTCTAAAGCCTTCTGAGTTTACATTCTGTTAGAAAACTTTCCCACACATTTTCTATAAACAACATATTGTTTTGCATTCCTTCGTGGGGGTGGAGGAAGTTGATGTACTGGTGGTTTGTCCAATGTCTTTGGAGAGGTGGCCCATTCACTCTCCAATCCACTGTCACCTTTGGAAAAGTATAAAAGTTGGAGTCAGAAAATAAACCTTCTTCTTTTTTACCTTGCCATTGCAGTGGCTCGTGTTGTGCTTTCTCGTGTCCTATAGTGACAGAACCCAACCATGTATTACTTTGGACAATAGTAGAACCAATTTTTTAAGAGATGTGGGCACATGTATGGGTGTGAAAGAGAGAAATCCCATGTGAGCTCCATCTTTTTTAGCTGCACCAATGGGAACTGGAATAATTTTCAGCTCTTTTGTTGTTTACCTCAAGCAATCTTGCACAGCAACTTTGAAATAACTGTGATTACCATGACAACTCCATGGGGTTGTTCACGAACTTCCTTTGTGGAAGGACTTGCAGGACAGCAAATTCCCTTCACCCCACACAACCTCCCACAGTGAGAGCATGGAAAAGCAGGAAGGTGCTTATAAAAGATGTGGAGAGAAGAAAATTCATAGAGGGACAGAGGAGCAGGAATGTCCCCACAGCTGAGGTGACAGCAGCACTGCTGATGCACAGGTAAGGCTGATTTGACTCCCTTTTTCCCTATTTCTTGTCCTCCCATCTGCTCTGTCCACAGCTGCAGGGACTTCTGCCCTAAGACAACCTGCAGCAGCAAAATAACTGAATATATATTAAAATGTCCACAGTAATTAACAGATTTTAGAAAATGCCCATTTTCCTGATATGCCCAAGTCAAAAGAGCTGCAGAGCTTTTCTCTCACATCCCGTCAACCCATCTGAGAGGTACCAAACTGGAGCACAGCACCCTGGTTGGGTGGTGATTTGGAAATTTGGAAACTGAGCTGCAGAATGAAGAGAGCAGCAAACAAACCCTCTCCAGGCAAAGCTCTGCCTGCACTGCCTGAGTCCTGCTCACTTTCAGGGGCAGTGCCAGCTGAAAAGGCAGAAAATGCCACCAAAATTGACACTGCCACCTTCCCTCCCTCAGAAGAGCTGGGAGGGTTTTGTCTGCTCACGTCCACCTGCTGCTTCATTCAGTGCAAAAGTGTTGGAATCTTGGATGCTGAGAGTTTTAAACTGATTTTTAAAAGCGTTAAGTTTTCTTTTATGGTTCTTTGGAAAGTTTTAAAGTTCTCATAAAACTTTTTAGCCTTCTGATAATGTTTACATATTTGAAAGTCACGAGTTTCCACACAATTTCATGTATAAATAGAATAGTTTACATATTTCTCTGTGGGTGGAGAGAAACGATTGATTGATCTTTGGACCAGTGTGGTTGGAGAGGTGGTAATTCCATCCTCCAATCCACTGTCACCTTTGGAATTCTATAAATACCAGATGTTTGAATAAAACTGTGTCTTTTTCTCTTTTGAATTTACCAAGCTTCTGTGTATTCATTTAGTATCCAATAGTGACAGACTTCCAAAATTGATTAATAGCACTGGGATTATGGGTGTGGAGTTGGTTAGAAGTGTGTGATATCACAGGGTGGAAAATTTAAGAGTTTAGGTTTTTAGAATATAGGAATGGATATGAAGCAAGGTGGAGGTTTTAGGGCAGAGGCAGGTTGTTCTTCTTTGCCTTCTTCTTCCTTCTTCTCCATGGGTTTGGGTGGCATCTTGCAATTGGGCAGAAAAATCTGCATTGCAGGCATTGAGTTATCAGTTATTGGGTTAAATGGGAAAATAATCTAGGTGTCATTCCTCAGTTGGCTAGTTTTGTTTCACTTCAGCCTCAGAAGACCTTGGAACTGAACTTCTGGGACCATTTTTGTGCTGGTTTTCCAGAGTCTGGTGCAGAGAGCGTGCTGAAGTTTTGATAAGATAACAATAAACAGAAGCTGAAGACTGGATTTTGGGGCAAATTTCTTCATGAAAGGGTCAATCAATGATCCTATCCTGCACACTTAACTCCTCTGACCCAAACCCACATTCCCTAAATGCAAATCCCAGCAGTGGGAGAACACCAGGGCTCTGGAATTCCACTGCTCCACTCAGCAGCAAACCCAAAGCTTCCTGGAGGCTGATTTCACCCTCTGAAAGCAGCAGTGCGTACAAGGAAAAGGGAATTTTTGGAATTGCAACACAGAAATAAATACAACTTTTAAAGGCTTTTCTCTTAATGAGTTCAAATTGCGTTTTGTATTTCCCTAAAAAGGGTGTTTCGGCTCTCAGTGCTGGAGCTGAGCTACTCTTCCTCTGGGCAGAGGTGGTGCAATAATGAAATTAGCAGATGCAAATTACAAGAGATAACAAGTCACCCTGTTAGAACAACAGACAGAAGCATTTTACTGGGGTGAGAAAGAGAGGAAGTTTAATCCATTTATCACCACAAAGCATCCTGAGGCTCCTCAGCTGATGGGGTGGCATTTGAGGTGTTTTTTCAAGGGAGGATGTGCCTCACCAGTGACTTCCCTGAGGTTCATTAACTTGTTTTGGAAAATTCCTCAGTCATATTTGGCTGCACTTCGTGTAAGATGGAACATTTAAAATTAATTAAACCGTGCCATATGGTTTATAGGTATTTTAAATGTGTTAAAGACATGAGTGATACATTTTAGAGGTAATTAGAATGACATCAAAAAAAGGTGTTAAAATATATCAATTGTGGTTACAAGCAAGTGCTGGTGCACTTTCTAGCTGAGGCTTCATCTACTTTGATGCAATTTCCAACAGAAAAAATACAAAATTAAAGAAACCCCAAGTGTTGATAAAGGCCAAGATCAAAATAAAGGAAAAAGCAAGATCATGGAATAAACATGAAAAATGTCTATTGTTTAATTAAAACAAATCACTTTTAGAGTGCTCTGAGCTACCTGCAAGCCTAGCTTGACTAAAATAATTAAACAGAAAGCTTATTAAAACCCTGATATATAATTAAGAATAATTTTTTTTCTAGAATTAAAAACAAAAAAGCATACAATACATGAAAAATAAAATCAATTAGAGAAAAATAATATAGTCGAAATAAAATCTTTACTGGTAAATTAGAAAAAGAGCAATGCTCCACTTTTTCCAATTACAAAACACTAAATGCAGCTCAGAGCCTATGGAAACTCCCAAACTCAAAAATAACTCTGCCCCTCCTGCTGGAACGGGAGACAAACAACAAACAACAGCTTTTAGTTTAAATAGAATTATTCAATATTCACACACGGTGCTGGAATACTGTCAGGGAGAGACCCAGACCTGTTACACACACAAACAACAATCCAGCCTTTGGCATTCCTATATCTACAGGTGTTTTTCCAAAACATTTTCTTTAAGGCCAACAATTTTCCGTGGAAATTCCATTTTCCACAACCTGCACCCTTCTGGTACCCTGGCAAATAGCACAAAAATTTCAAAAGGGACCATGGTGGGGAGTGATGGTTCTAAATCCACCTCAATTCCAGCTGGAGATGGATTTAGGACCTGTTTGGTCATCAGATCGAAGCATCACTGACAAACTCATCATCTCTCACTAATTCCTGAGAAAAACTGGGGGAAATTGATGTTTGGGAAGATTCTTTTTCTCTACAGTCAAATAAAACTCACACCCTGAAAATGAGGTTAGCAGGATGGGGAGAAGGAATAAACAGCTTCAGGACTTAGGGCTTCCTGACTTGAGAGAAATTGTATCTCTTTATACAATTATTTAAAAATTATACCTCTTTCTATATTGATATTTAGAGAGAGAAGACAGAATGGGTCTCCACTGAGAGTTGGTGTCACTAATGCAGCTGTTAATGACTGCAGACCTGTTCATCTTCCCAAGGCAATGAACTATCAAACACCAGCAAACTCAGGAATCACTGCCTGCTTCATTTCTCAGATTATTCAGAAAAAAAAAAAAAAACACAAAAAAAAACCCCACCAAAAAAACCCTCAAAAAACAACAACAACAACAACAAAAAACCAATACCACACACAACTATTTTAGATCCTTATTGATATGGTAATAAACACAAACACATTCCTTCTCATTTCATAACGCTTCAATGCAAAGGAACAGTGGAAAAGTGGGTCAAAACTGTCTTTTAATGTAGCAATCAAATTCCAGCTAAATTAAAGCAGATTAATTAACAGGCAAGTCAGCAAAATAAAATCCTATGCAAGTGCTGGTAAGTAAATGCATTACTTTTCACATCACAGCACTTCAAACTGTAACACAAAATGAATAAAAATATTGAATTCAAATTGCAAGGAAGCTAAAACCATTAACTAATACTTTTAAGTGTAGTGCCATTTTTTATCAGGAATTATTTCTTTCCTCCTTTAATTTGCCATCACTTGGCCACAATGAAAGCTGCTAAAACTGGAGTTTTCCTAAGGGAATTCCACTGAGAAGTCTTTCAGTGAAGTTTTTACAGCATCTTCTCATCTTTTTCAAGTCCTAGTAAATGTAGAAATATCTAGGAAAAAAGGTGAACTTGTTTAAAGGTGAATTATTTTTAAAAGCTGCTCTGCATTGTCACAAAATTCTGTTTTTTAGCCCTCTTCTAGTCAAGTATTTGAGCCAGGACTTCAGACCCATTTCAGCCCACAGGCAGTGGCTATAAGTACAAAGTGAAAATTAAAATTTATGTACAAGCATAAAACATTTAGATCTTGGAGGGGTTATGTCTGGACAGAAGCTGTTTTAGTATTTATTCTGGTTTTGGTGAGTTAAAACAACATCAGGGACATTTAACCTCAGTTAAGCATCTAATCCTCCTTTTCTGGAGGATAAAAAGACAACAAAAATTCATCCATCTGGAGGTGGAAGTGTCTCAGGCACCTGATAAATTTAATTCCCATTTTCTGTCTTTCCTTCTGCATGTTATCCTATGCTTTCACTGCTCTCTGCACTCCACTGCTCTTTAATGTTTAGCTCTCTTTATTAAAGATATTCTAGAAAAAAAAAATAAATCACATACTTCGCAAAATTAACAAGGAACAAGATTGCTTTCTTCAATGCTGAGTGATTTCTCAGCCCAGAGCTCATGAATCCATTTTGAATTATATTTTCTCCCCTCCACAAGACACACTATATTCAGCTCATTTAATTAAAATTTACTGAGTCATTATCCAAATCTTCTACATACGGAAAAAGCAGCACCATTTAAAAATAAATTAAGAACACGAGCAACAGTGCCATCAAAATGAAACTCTCTCAGGCTTTACTAAAGCACTGTGGTCAGTACCTCAGTGAAACCCAAGTTCGCTGGTGACAAGAAATTCAAGTATTTGTGCTTTATCTTTATTATTCAAATAGGAGTTTTCTTAATAAATACAAATTCTAGCCAAGCTGCTGCAAATGGAATTAAAATTCAGCTCCTTTTGCCTCCCCATCTCTCCCAGGTGTTGTCTATGCTGGACCTCCCTTGTGGAAGGAATTCATTCCTCCTGCTTGCTGCAATTAAAGAAGAGAAAACCCTCCCCAGCAGATTTCTCCACTGGAATTGGAGTTCAGGGCTGAAAAATGTACTGCTAATTTGAAACCCTTTCCAGAATTGCAGGAATTTGTAGAACTGCATGAAATTCACGAATTGCAATTATTCACAGCAGACAGTAATGAACTCCAGGGTTTTCTGCAAAGAACCTCACTCTGCTCTTCTCCAAAGGCAAGTTTATTTCATTTAGATTAATTCAGGATTACTGCCTTGTTATTGTGCTTCCTCTGGAAGCCATTTACGGTATATTGTCAAAAATGCACGTTCTGGGTCATATTTTGGAATTACCTGCACTTGGCAGAAGTAACAGCTGTAATTTATGTTCATAAACCTAAAGCAGGCAGCATCATATTCAATTCGTTTTTGGAAACTGAGTGTTGATTTCTTCAGCCTGGTACTATCACCCCAAATTAAACTGATACCATTCTTCTTTTTATGGAAATGGAACTGGGACAAAAGCTGGGAATTTTCCTGAACAGACAAAATCAGGTGCTGTGTGTTTTGTACACACGCTTTACAAAAGCAGTGACAAAACTGATTGAGATCCATCAAAAGGCAACAAGTTTCACAGGAATTTTAGAGGTCACTGTTTAATTTAACACATTAATATTGTTAAATTAAAGGCTGGAAGTATTCAATAACCCGGCAGTGCTATTTTGAAAGGGATTTTGCTGGCCTGCTTGCAGGCAGGCAGCCAGCGAGGCTGTGGCACCATGTCCAGCTCTGCAGCAGCAGATGCCCCAACTTCTGCCAAATTGTCACATTTGACAACACTTAACACCAGAACACATAAAAACTCCTGAGGCCCCTGTGAACAAAGAGCCAGGGCAAAGCTGGCAGTGCCCAAAGCTTCTGGGTACAAGGAGACAGCTCCAGCCTTACGATGGCACAAATTGAAGTCTCCACTGAAGCCTCTTCCAGGTTTTATCTATCTGGGAAAAAACTTCTGTGTTTAAAAACTGCAGAAGAAAAGCACAACACGGTGTTTTACAGGAGTAGGATGTGGCAAGCACATTTCTTTCCCTCTCAGGATTTTTCATAGAGGTGCACAAAGAGAAATGAAAGAGAAAACAATTTCTATTTCTGCTCCTTGTTTTTCCTATGTGGAACGTGTTTGGAGAATTGTTTACCTGGGTTGATGCTTGGTTGGATTCTGGTGAGGATTGTTTGAGCTGGTGGCCAATCCAACCCACTGGGGCTGGGCTCTCAGAGAGGGTCACCAGTTGTGTTAGAGTCAGAGAAAGTAGTATGTAGTTTTAGTATCCTCCTTTTATATAGTACATTAATGTATTTTAGCATAGTTATAATAAAGAAATAATTCATCCTTCTGAATTGAGTCAGACATCATTCATTTCTTACCACTGGGTTTGCCTGCATTTACAATAGTAGGACTGACACTGTTGAGACAGGATGGGAATGAAATGACTCCACTCAGAAGGTGAGAGTATAACTGATTTATTTTAAAATATATCTCTCTTTTATACAGAGCTTCATGTAGACTAATTCTACTGGTCTTGAAGTGAAAACATTTCAAACTATTGGTGTGCAGTGAATGACATACAGTAGTAAAACTTAACTATAAACAATGTGAACAATAAGAGAGATAAAGAACTTGTTTACATTCTCTTTCAGCACTTTCTCAGGCTTCTGCCTAGTTAGAAATTTTCTGTTTTCTCTTTGACTGAATCTGAGGCCTAAATAGGACCAGAAGAATTTTGTCTAACCCAGACTGAGCTCCCAAAAACCACTTCTGGCTCCCCTGTCGCTATTGGACACGAAATGAGTACACAGAAGGCTGGCAAGTTCAAAGACAAAAAAGAGGAAGTTTTATTTGGACATCTGGTATTTAGAATTCCAAAAGTGACAGTGGATTGGAGGATGGAATTGCCACCTCTCCAACCACACTGGTCAAACCACCAGTCCATCAATTCTTTCCTCTCATAAAGAAGAATGCAAAACAATCATTATTTACATGAACAGTGCGTGAGAACTGCAGTAGAAATATGTAAACATTATCAGAAGGCTGAAGAAGTTTTATGAGAACTTAAAAACTTTCCTAGAACTATAAAAGGAAACTTAATGCTTTTAAAAATCAGGGCAACACGCTGCAGCTGGCATGCCCAAAGTGCCACACTGACTGCAGCCATCCCCATCACCCCTCTCCTCCAAGGAGCTCCTGTGCCACCCCAGCT